CAGCGACTCCAGCAGTAGAGCCCCGGGCTCCAGCAGCGCGACCCTGACGGCGACCGTACCGGTCCTGCAGCTGCTGTGAGGTGAGAGGCACACGTGGACGAAGGCGGCTACTCCAAGGAGACCCCCAACAGCAGACTCAGAACCCTCAGCGCCAGCACCCCCAACTGCTCCAGAACCTCCAGCGCCAGCACCTCCAGGCTCCTCACGCGTAGGCTCAGTACCCGCAGACTCGGCACCCCCAAGCTCAGCACCTCCAGGCTCCTCACGCGCAGGCACAGCACCCCCAGACTCCGCACCCCTAGGCTCAGCACCTCCAGGCTCCTCTCGCTCAGGCTCCGCACCCCCAGGCTCAGCACCCCCAGAGACAGCACCCCGAGCAGGACCACCTCCAGCAGGACCTGAGTCACCAGTGACCTCAACAGGCGCAGGTACCGGAGGGTCTACCTGAGAAACACCTGAAGGAGCAGGACCTGGCGCGGGGAGGGGGTCTACCTGGGGAGGACCTGGAGCGAGAAAGAGCGGCGGGGGGGGGCGAGAGGCAGTGCGGTAGGGAAAGAGACGGTAGAAGGGAACAGACTCGTCAAAGGTGACGTCCTGAGACGCAAAGACACGGCGCGAGGTGGGGTCGTAAAACTGCCAGCCAGGCGCGTCAGGAGGAAAACCAAGGAAGACGCAGGGAATGGCGCGAGCAGAGAGCTTGTCCGCGGTGAGATCGCGGACAAAGGCACGAGCACCCCAGACCCGGAAACGCGACGCATCGCCAACCTCCCCCGTCCACAGCAGCGTGGGCGAGGTCTCCGGCAAGGAGACACGGGGCCAGAGGTTGAGCTGATGCGTGGCGTACCGGACCGCGAACGGCCACAGAAAATGGGGAGCCGCCGCATGGATCATGGAGGTACGAGCGACCTCCATGACTAAGCCAATGCGGCGCTCAGCAACCCCATTCTGCTGCGGAGAGGCCGGAAGCGTGAACGATTGGGTGATGCCGTGCTCCGCACAGAAGGCTGCCAAGAGGTCAGAGGAGAACTCACCACCTCTGTCAGAGTGCAGACGCAGGACAGGGAAGTCCCGCTCGAACCGCTCGCGGAGCTGGAGACGCACAGCGCGGATCCAGGGGATCAAAACAGCAGGGACGTCCCCCTTGCTGCGCAAGGGGAAGACCGTGGTGTAACGCGTGTAGTCGTCGACAACCAGCAAAAAGTACCGCTCACGGCCCTGTCCCTGGACGCGGGCTGGGCCCCACACGTCCAGGTGGAGCGTCTGCAGGGGAGCCTCTGTGGGAGGAAACGAGGAGGAGTGAGGAGCGGCGCGCTGCCGCCCCTCGACGCAGGGAATGCAGGGCGGCGCAGGCGAGGGAGGGAGGGCAGGCAGAGACCTGGGAAGCCCAGAGACCAGGGAGCGAGAGTGCATGCCACGAAGGCGAGGAAGGGAGGGGTGACCAAGGCGGTGGTGCCACAGAAGCGTGTCGTGCGACAGGCGGCGGCACTCACACTGGGTAGCTACCTGAGCAGACGCGTACAGCTGAGGAGACAAAGGAGTGTAGCGTGAAACAGTGGTGAGGGTGTACAGACTAGACCCCGGCTCACGAGTGAACGTGGCCAGGTGGCGGCCAGTCTTGGAGCACGTGCAGATCGCCACACGCTGCCCTCCAGGAGTCCAGGTGTCAACCCAGTGATCCTGGAGGACGGCGTTGCTCACCAGGTTCGTAGAGAACGAGGGAACGTGGAGACCTGACAGCTCACCAGACGGGACCGCCGGGCACGGGAGCACAGTCGTGGCTCGTGCAAGCACTGGGCCCCCAGAGGGGTCAGCCAGTGAGACAGGGACAGGTGCAGGGAGGGGAGTGACGGTGGTGCTATCGCGAAAGAAACAGCGGGAAGCACCAGAGTCAAGTGTAAACGTGTGCAAGGCCTGAGTCGACTCAGTACCAAGGGGAGCAGACTCACTAGCACCTAGGGCTGCAGCCCTTATACCGGGGTCAATACCAGGATCAGGCGGCACACACAAGTAACAATCACCCTCAGCACTAACAGTCAATGCATACATGGCAGCAAGAATAACATCATAGTCCAGATCAAAGATAGGCACATCACGCCTAAGCAGCTCGGCCCAGTTGGGGAACTCAGTAGCATCAGGATACTTGGCACGCCAGGCGTCACTAAGCCTAGCAAAACAACGATACTCAGTGTGAAAACCGTTGCAGGGGCGACCCTTGCGGGGGCCAGTACGAATGACATAGGGGCAGCGGTCAGAACCCCGAGACGCCCCACGCCCAGCATACCAGTCATTGAGCTGCTGGGAGGTGAGGGGAGGAAGCTGCTGCTGCTGCTGTGGCTGCTGCTGCTGCTGCTGCTGCTGCTGGCCACCAGTGGGGCCACCCTTCTGGCCAGATCCACCCCCACTCCCACCTCCACCGCCACTGCCGCTGCCTCCTCCCCCACCACCGCCGCCGCCGCCTCCACCGCCCCCGGTCCTGCCGCCACCCCACCCACCGCCTCCACCCCCACGTCCACCCCCACCACCTCCACCACCCCCGCCGCCTCCACCACCGCTCCCTCCACCGCCACCTCCGCCACCCCTGCCACCCTTGCCGCCCCTGCCACCACCACGCTTCCCACCAGGAGCGGAAGCCGCTGCGACCTTCTCCGCACCGAGGAAGTCGACAGCAGTAGCAGCAGAGGCGTAGGAGGGGTCAAGAGGGGAGGGGGAGCACCCCTCAAAGAGGGGAGTGCGGGGAGTGCCACGAGCAGCACCGACAGCGAGGATGTTCTTCTCTGCTGCGACCAGCTGCTGCTCGAAGTCGTCCAGAGTGATAGTTGGAGGATCCTTGGCAAGGAAGTGATCCCTGACAGAGCGAAGAGTGTCAGGGAGGCGGGTGACGAGGATGTAGAGGGTGAAGTACAGCGGGGGGGTGTTCGTGGCGAGGAACTCGTCGGTAAGAGCGGCTCGAAAGCGGGCGTCACTAGTGCGGAGGTGAGTGATAAGGTCGGCAGCAGTGTGAAACGAGGCTAAGTCTGGGAACAGGTAAGGCAGGATGAGACTACCAACGGTGGCTGTGGCCGGGGCGGAATAGCGGGCAACGACAGCATCATACAGCGTCTTGGCAGTCTTAAGCTGGTTGAAATGCGCGCGCTCAGAGATCGGTAGGTGATTGCGAATAACAAGGCGCGCGACTGCGTCGCGGAGCTCCCACTGTGCTCGTTCAGGGGCAGGAGCAGTCTCAGCGGGAGTAGGGACAGTGCCAGTGACATAGGCTAGTAGTGATACTCCGTCTGCGACGTCAGTCATAAGGTAAAGCCGCAGATCACTAAGCCAGGTGTCAAACTCGATGGGGCGGCCGTCAGGCTCAAAGGCGAGAACAGTAAGGGTCGCCATGGTTGCAGCGCAGGCAAAAGTAGCAGGCTCAGGCAGCAGGCTCAGGCAGCAGGCAAAGGCTGCAGGTTCAGGCAGCAGGCAACTGTAGCAGGCAGGTGCGCAAGGCAGACGGTAGAGGCGCAAGGCAGGCAAGAAAAAGACAGGGTAAACCCTAAACCCTGGCGGCAGGTACAGGCGGACGCAATGCACGGGGCAGCAATGCGCTGTACGAGCGGCGAACGCGACGTGCAGGGCCTAGGCGGGCTGCGTGCGGACGGTAGGTGCAGCGCGCAGCTCTGGAGTGGGCCGCGCAGGCAGCAAACGCGACGCGCGGGGCGGAAAGGGGCTGCGCGCGAGCAACAGATGCGACGCGCGGGCTGCAGACGGGCTGCGCGGGGCCTTAGCGGGCTGCGCGAGGCAGGGACGGGCCGCGCGCGAGCTGTGCGGGCTCAGGGCGGGTGCGCGGGCGATGGACGGGGCGCGACGCGGCTGGCAGCAGCAGTGCGCGCTAAAAAAAAAAAAAAAAAAGGCGTGCGCGCGCAGCCGAGGCGCGCGCGGGCAGCAGGCTAGGCAGACAAACAGGCAAGGCAGGTAGGCAGGCCGTTGGTGAGGTAACTTAGTAACTGGTGGGCCCTTAAACTTAGGTCCTAAGAACCTGCTCTAGATGCCATGTCGAGATAGCTAGGCAAGGTTGAGTTGCATTGACGAGAGAGATTGCTACAAGAGACACAACCCCAAAGTGTTATCCCCTATAACATCTACCCCACTACAGCCTACCAATATATATCACACATATATATCATTTGACATAGGGGGGTTAGGGGAAGGTTGGGGGGGTTTCGGGGGTTGGCTGGAACTCGCTTCAGGGTAAAACTCGATAAGAGGATCGGCAACCCTGAGGCGACAGTGTAGCTTAATCATAAACCCTGGCACATCAGGGTAAATGGAGGTCCCAAAAAAATTACCCTAACGCATCAGTGTTACTACCTAAAAACCACCCTGTTCATCAGGGCATCAGGGTGATTTACCCTGATAAAATAGGCCCTGGTCCTGACTGTCGTAGCAGCCACTTGTTTTCACAGAACCTGTGCAGATCCAGAGGAGAGAATAGCAGCGGGTGCGAGAAGGAGCTGATGAAGCAAATGCATAAACATGCATGCATCAATCAAACAAAAGAAGCCAAGACACATGTATGGTCATTGTTCATGTGCCCCAGTTATGCGAAAGGCAATAGCTTCAGATGGACAGCAGACACATGAGGCTTGCAACTTGCTTTCTACGCTATGGTGAACCTACTCACCACTCCTCTCCACTCTCTCCATTACTCAGCATGGAAAAAAGGAAACACCTTTGTTTATCTTTACCTCTACTCACATGTGCTCGCTGCTGTCCTTACTCTCTCATCTTGCCACTCACCTCGCCACTCACCTTGCTATTGTTCGTCCCACTCTTCTTCCCGCTGGTCCTGCCAGGGCATGTGAGCTTGTGGGAGGGCCAGTGCGCCTTTTGGCACTCTCTGCTGCAATACGCCACCTTGCCACATGCAGAGCAGTTCTTCAGCTTCACACCGCCACCAACCCCCACTGCCCCACACCCCACAGCACCGCACACACGCTCCCCACCAGAAGCAGGACCACTTGCATGGTTTAGTGTAGCACTGGTGGATGGAGCAGCATGGGAGAAAGGGGCAGCAGCGGCAGCACAAGCGGACGAGGAAACAGGGGTGGAAGAAGCAGCAGGGGTGGAAGGGGCAGAAGGGGCGGCAGGGCGGTAGCAGGGCTCCCCCAGCAGCATCTCTCGCAGACAAGCCAGCAAATTGACTCCCCCTGGCCATGGCTTCAAATAAGCCGGCTCCTCCCCCTGCTGGCCCTTCCCATCATCCCCCTTCGTCCGTCGACCCCCACTGTCACTGTCATTTCCGTGACTACAGCTGCTGCTTCCGAAGATGTCGCTGAGAATGCTGCTTTCACTGATCATTTCAGAAAGCCTTTTCTCACTGTCAATGTCTTCACAGTACCTAGGCATGGCAGCCCTTTTCCACAGCTCGCGCCACTTGTCACTCATAATCTCCTCTCCCCGCGCTCCATCCCTTCCGGCCCGCTCCTTTCCTTCCTTGCACCTGTCACTCAATGTCTCGGCCTCGAGCTTCATGCTGCCCGTCCATGCAAACTCCACGGCCAGCCACCACATCTGCACCTCCTCCCACACCCTCCCGTCATCTTCCTCTCCGTCTCGCAGCCTGTGAAGGTCCTTGCGGTCGGTGATTCCCAGAATGGGGGCGGCCCATTTGGGAGCCACGGCCAACAGGAAGAGCACAGGATCGAGCTCTGCCCGATTGTGCAGCAGGGCCGACCTTAGAAAGCCCGGCACGGCGGCAGGGAAAGGCGGCACGCCCATACGAGCAGCGACGCGGTTGAATTCGGGAGAGAGGGGCGGGAAGAGGGATACAAAGCGGTTGAAAAGGACGGAGGCAGGTCGGTAGGCGTAATTGGCGATGAGCGTGAGGAAGGGGATGCTACGGCTGTAGACAGCAAGGCAGGGCTTGCACTGAGCGCATGCAGGTGGCTTGACCAAATGCCCGGCGAACTCCAATAGGAACTCGGCATCGGCAGTGCAGCGAAAGATGGGGTATTTCCTCTGCAATAGCGGCCGCAGCTTTGTCAGCAGCTGCTGCAGCAGCCTCTCGTCTAAGTCACACTCCACTCCTCGAACCCTCTCTTCTCCCCCGCGCCCTCTGCTCCTTCCCTCCTGCTTGCCCCTCCCTTTGTCTCCTCCTTTCCCCTTCGTGGTCCCAGTCTTGCCTGCTGCATTTGATCCCTGTCCGCCCTTCTCTCCTCCTGCCCCACACTCCCCTGCTGTCCCCCTCGCTTCCTCCACAATCCCCAGGTGGAAGAATTTCGCACTGGGGTCATTAGGAAGCTTTGCAGCAACTTCATCGCCCTGAGGCCACTCCTCATACTCCCAGGCGAAGCTGTCTTGGTCCACAGGCTTAGGGATGGCACCGAGTCTGACCAGCAGGCTCGGAAGGTCCCGAAGCGGGTGACGCATGGGCCGGACCTTCCCCTGTGGGTTTTCCTTACAGCACTGACTGGCGGGGACGATATCAGACCCGTAGGTGCGAGCCCACCGCAGAATGCTGGCAGCACGATATGTGAAGACTGCAATCACTGGGTTGGTGTTGACAGGGATTGTGTTGACAGGGATTGTGTTGACAGGCGCGGGTCCCACTCCCACCCGAGAAGCACCACTGGGAGAAACTGCTGCTGCAGCCCCTGCTGGTTTTGATGCTGATGCTGGTTGCAGTGCTGAGGCTGCTGTTGCTTCACCTCTGCCTGCTGCCCCTCCTTCATCCCGCGCCCTCTTTCTCAGCCTCTCCCTGGCTGTCTCGATAGCTGCATCCTCCACCCATGTCTTGCTCGCAGTGTTCCCATCCTGAAGGTAGAGATCGGTCTCCCTGTGGTACTGTGGCGAGGACAGCACAGCAGCAACGCAGAGAGCAAAGTCAGTCGCACCCACGCCACTCACATATATGCCCTTGGAAATTTCCGTGCCTTCAAGTTTGCTGCTGCTGCTGCTGCTGCTGCTACTGCCACCTCTGCTGCCACCACCACCACCACCAGTGCTGCTGCTGCTGCCCCCCTCACTGCAGTGGCTGCACCGGAACTCCCTCCCTTCCCCCCCTCCATGCTCCAGTATCCAAGCCATGCCATCCACATACCTCTCCCACACAGGCCCCTTCAGATGCTCCCTCCACTGCCCACCCTTCCCATCCCTACCATCACCACTGTCCATGCTTTCCCATGATGACCCTTCCAGGTTCCCATCATCCCCCATCTGACATTTACCCTTTCCTTCCAAAACGCCTCTGCCTGCTCTCCCCTTCCCCTCTGCATGCGCCTTCTCCAGCCCGCCTGAGAGCAGATTCTGCATGGCAACACCAAATCCTTCTTCCAAATCCCTTCTTTCCTTCAACCCGAGAATCTGAACCAGCATGGAAGCGAGAACGTCCTTCTCCCTCTGCCTGCGTGCCCCTAGCGCACTCGCGATGGGTGGATAGGCCATGGAAGTCGATGCATGCGCTCTGCATAGAGTCACGAACCGCGGGCACCTCGCTACAAGCACGAGGAAGGCAGCGAAGCTGACAGCATGGCGGTAGGCAGCCCAGCAGCTGCTGCAGCGCCAGCAGCAGGAGAACACTGCAGAGGAAACAGAAGCAGCAGGGGCAGCAGCTGCTGCAACAGGGAAAGCATTTGTAATAATAGCAACAGAACCAACGGGTATGCCTGCGGCACTTGGAATGTCACTTAGAATTTCAGGCAGGCAGGATCTGATCCTCCCCAGATCCATGAGCACGCCCACACGAGGCTCAGCCATCCACTCAAGAATCATCATTTCCGCACAGAGCAAAGGGGCCACGTCACACTTGAGTGGAAAGTGCATGTGAGGCGGCACTCCCAGCCGCGCTGCTGCCTCTGGCACGGGAACCTTTGATGAGAACTCATACATAGCTCGGGTCAAACGGTTGGGAGCGAGGGGGATGGAGAAAGGCTGTGTTTCTCGCAGGTGGTATCGGAAGTCTTTGGGATTGGTCATGATGAGGGCGTGCTTCGTGCGCTGGCTCACAGAGCGGTCGAAGCAGCACTCGCACACAGCAAGGCCCCACGCGTCTCTCACGTCCAGGTAGTGAACCATGTCCGCCCGACACAGCAGCTGAAGCTTCTCTGGATACTCATCAGCTCTGGCCCTCTCTGGCCTCCGTCCTTTCCGCTTGTCCATCATCGGCTGATCTTGTGGTTCCCATGTCAATGCGTGAGGATTTGGAAGTGGCAGCTCATCCCATAGAGTCCCGAAAAGCCGAGGAAGGCAAGTGCTGGCACTGGCAGCAGCGCCAGCAGAAATACTCTGGACTTTGCTCCTTTCTTTCCTCCGCTTCTCCTCCTCTTCCTCCTCCTCGTCGCTGCTGGAAGGGAAATGGTCCCATTTGCTGTAGTCGATGCGGCTCGCTGAAGCAGCAGCAGGGAGTGTTACGGAAGCAGCAGCACGAGCTGTCACGGTGGCAGCAACAGAAGAACGCACAGCCTTTTCAGCATCACTCGAGCCTTTTCCATGATCCGCTGCTTCCACAGGGAGCACTAAGATGGTTGTACCCGTTTTAAGCTTGGCTCGCTGTACCGTTGCCTGAGGAGAAAGGTACGCTACCTGGCCAAACACCATGAAGCGGACGAGCTGCTGCTTCCGAGTAACCCCGACATGTGTTTCCAGCTGCTGACGTGTCTCACATGGTAAGCAGCAGCTTGGCAAATGTGACTGAAACAGTCTGTTGAAGACTGACCTAAGAAGCTCAGTAGGGGAAACGGTAATTGCGACGACAACGTGGGATGATGCGGATGGGTTATTTTTAGAGGAGCTATCGTGGCCTGTTTTTTTGACGTCGCTACCGCTGATGATGTCACTATGACTGCTGACGTCACTACGGATGGTGCAACCCTCTGTGCTACTGTCGTCATTTCTATTGTCGCTTGATCCGCGTCGGATAAGATCAGCTGGGATACTGAACTTGACCTCAAACGCCATGTGCGACAGTCAAAACTTAAATAAGTGCCTATCGATTAGGTTTTTTTATCTTGAGCGCCTCAAAAGGTCAGCTTGATTCTAAACTTATCTTCGAACGCAATGTGCGACAGAGCAAATAATACTCGAGGAGGTGCATATCACTTAAAATCTCCTACTCGATTCCGTTGATACACATTTCTGGTTCTGTCACGAATGCATGTGGATAACGCGGTATCTTGAGACTTCTCTGCCAATATGTACACGTTACCGCGTGGCTACAGCTGTGTAAGCGGTTGTCATAAACTTCTCCTTGGAAACTGATGCAACCAGAAACAGGTTTTCGTGCAGAAAGTCCACTGAGAGCGGTTTATTCCAACACGCTTCCTTAAATACCGCCTCCTTTGCCGCTTTAGAGACGAACGATGGGATCGCGGAATGCCGTCGACGCATTCTTGACACCTACCGCACTAATTAAGAAACAGAAATCGTTGTGATTTTGAAGTGCTTGCTAACATCTGACTTGGCTCAGCAGTTGTTGCGAATAAGTAGCATTGTAAGAGCGCGTTAAGAAAAAAGTTATCTCGATCCGGCGAGGCTGTGAGCTTTAGTGACAGCGCGGCTTTGCCAGCTCCATAGGCGTAGAGAAGACTCCTTGAATCATAGCTGGAAGCTGAGCATTGAAGCTACATCAAATGCAGTGGGAAGAGCAAGTAGGGTTAGTTGAATCAACAAAGCGAGCCAGCCTCAAGGGGTCTACACTAACCACCGCTATTTTCAACTTCTGACCTTGGCACTGTTCCCGATTTTCATGTAATCCCTGCCCAGCTTTTGGGGTTTTCTGTTAGAAACCTCGTTATAGGGGACTATGAATGACATCAAATGGAGATTTCAATCGGGCGAGTGTAAGACAATTTCGGCTCGTGTGGAGTCTGCTTGTTGTTGCGCATCCCATTGCGTAGCTTTCAGGAGTCAGGAACTAACTCTGCGTAGAGCGTATGACGTCCGACACAACCCTCGGTCAAAAACGTTTTGAAGGGTGCCTACCCCTTTGCACACGTGGGGGTTGAAGATAGACCGAAAGAAAATAGCGGTGGTTAGGTGTACCAGAAAGTCAATTGTGTAAGTTTGGTTGGCAGTGAGGAGCTCTGCTTGGTTACTTGGGTTCGGCTCGGTTGGTCTGGTGTGGTAGGGTTTGCTTTGGTTTGGTTTCGGAGAGACGTTGGGAAGGTTTGGTTAGTTTTGGCGCGAAATACAGGTTTTGACGGAAGTGGTTCGACAAGGGGTTCGGTCGATACTGGTTGGTGACCGAACTCCAGCCGATAGAAACGAACTCTCGATGACATCGGACGGTCGAGAGTCTTCGCAGAAAAACGCCTTCATTTCAGCAGACCGAAGCTACCTCATTCGGACTCGGACTACCAGGCCAGTCTTTCTTTGCGATCGTGAAGTAGAGCGAGGTAGTGAGGACGCGTCACAAGTAAAATATCGAGGAAGGATCAGGGTTGTTCACCGAACCTGTCAAACCGATCGCCATATCGGTGTGTCACGACTGCTTTGAAGTTTCAAGTGACACGATCGTAAAAACATGGGGCAAAATTGCCCGATGTGGACGAAATTGCACGATCGATGTGTGACAGGGGCACATCGATCGCCTGACTTAGAAGGGAAAACTGTACGTTAACGAAAATAAACGAAATTGTGTAACCACCTAAACACCGATTCTAGGCAGGATCGATGTTCTACTTGTGACGCGTCCTGAGCCATAAATCACCGATCGGTTCAGCGAGGGAGCGTACAGTTGAAGCAAGGTAGGGAGAAAACAGTTAGTGAAGTGTCGACGACGGGTTGCATCAAGTTGAAATCATTATTTACCACCCTAAGCAGCCGCCGTCATCGGCAAGGCAAAGCTTCCGCATGCAATATAGTACCGCGGCTATCGGTCTCTCCCGAGGCCTGCCTCGCGCTCTTCCACTCACTCGTGCAGGCTTCAGCTTGCACAAAGTTAGACTCACGTCGAATCAACTTGAACCACATCGCTGCCGTTTCGTTGTGTCACTTGCCGCACCCAGTCAGCTGCTCGCGCGCCACGAGTCGAGATCCGTAGCCTGTCCGAATTTGCGGGTGCGCCACGTGGTTCGTTCGGCGCGGCGGGTGTTTGTGCGCGATGGCGGCGCGAGAGGTGACGGTGGTGTTCGGTGAGGAGCGGTTCGAAATGGAAGTGGAGGTTGACATGGGCGTGGAGGTGAGGCGATGGGGGGGATGCGAGAAAGTGGGACGGGACAGGAAGGTTGGGATAGGAGCGACGGCGGAAGTAGGGACGGAAGTAGGGACGGCGGAAGTAGGGACGGCGGAAGTAGGGACGGCGGAAGTAGGGACGGCGGAAGGAGGGACGGCGGAAGCATGGATCGGAAAAGAGGGAATGGCGAAAGAACTGAAATGGGGGGATAGGGATGCGGGGATGGGGATGAGCTTGAAGGGGATAGAGAGGAAGCATTTTGGATACACCACAAAAGGAACAGGTGGGTCGGTACAGGACAGACTGATGCGAGAGCTGGAACTGTTCCTCTTCCTGAGCGATGGGATGAGAGATATGATTGACCATTGAGTCCGACTGACTAGGCAGAATAGTTTTCCACCTGCTCTCATTCATCCCGCCCAACTACCGTATCCTCACTCCCTCTGCTTTTGCGATACCTCAGGCATCACCCAAGCTGGCTTATCCTCTTCAAACTCGGTCCTACCTGGCCCTGTGCCGACCTACCCTTGCATTCTGTGAATCGTGCCAAACTTCATCCCTTCTCCCCTCCTCCTCCCCCCTCCCTGTCGACTCCCCCCTCCCTCCCAATTCATCCCTGGCCGTCCATCCACATGCAGGTGCTGCAGATTCAAAACTTTTCTCTCACAGGAGTCGAGCCGGAGAATCAACTGGTATGTCGGACATCGAGTGATGCGATGTTCGTTTAGGATTTATATCAATGAATCTGTTTCTGAGTCGACTCAGAAATTCGTCGCGCAGCGAATTTGAACGACTTGCTTGCGCTTGCCCAGGGGCCTTGATCAAGACCAAATCAGCTGTTGCCGCGGCGTGACATGGTTCAGACAGTCATGCACAGTCATGCGTCCCTCTCTCCTTTCCCCTGTTCCACAAGTTTCCCACTCTCTATGTGATGGGATGGGATGGGGTGGTGGTTGAATCCGGTGGTCATCCCTATTCTATCCCATCTTACCACCGTACCGCCTCCCCCCCGTCCGGTGCCTGTGCATCTCTCCTTGTCCTCTTTTCTATCCATGCTTCCTTTACCTCTCCTTGCCGCGTGCCGATTTTTTTTTTTTTTTTTTTCAAGGCGCTCTGTAACCAGTATCGTCCTTTCTTACCACCTTTCCCATTCGTCCGTGCAGCTCTCTCTCTCCTCCAGCCCCTCCCTTGACCTCTCCTCGCCACATGCTGATTAGGCCTCTCTCCTGCCGGCCAGTGGGGCAGTGCTGGTGCTGCACGATCAGAGAAGGGGGGGCGAAGTGGGAGACATACTAATCCCTTCTTACCACCACTCCCATTCGTCCTTGCACCTCTCCCTGTCCTCCGACCCTTCGATTGACCTCTCCTCACCGCATGCGGATTTGGCCCCTCTCCTGCCGGCTAGTGGGGCAGTGCTGGTGCTGCACGATAGGGGGAAGCCTATTCAAAAATCACCTCTATTCTTTCTTACCGCCTTTCCCCTGGTATCCTTGCAGCTCTCCCTCTCCTCCAACCCCTTCCTTGACCTCTCCTTGCCGCATGCTGATTTGGCCTCCCTCCTGCGGGCTACTGGCGCAGTGCTGGTGCTGCACGATAGGGGGAGGGGGGACAAAGTGGGAGACATACTAATCCCTTCTTACCACCACTCCCATTCGTCCTTGCAGCTTTCTCTCTCCTCCGGCCCGTCCCTTGACCTCTCCTCACCGCATGCTGATTTGGCCTCTCTCCTGCCGGCCAGTGGGGCAGTGCTGGTGCTGCACGATCAGAGAAGGGGGGACAAAGTGGGAGACATACCAATCCCTTCTTACCACCTTTCCCATTCGTCCGTGCAGCTTTCTCTCTCCTCCGGCCCGTCCCTTGACCTCTCCTCACCGCATGCTGATTTGGCCTCTCTCCTTCCGGCTAGTGGCGCGGTGCTGGTGCTACATGATAGGGGGAATGGGGGGGCGCAAGGGGAGACATGGGAGAAGGGGCCGGATGGGGAGAAGGGGGCAACGGGGGAGGGGAAAGAGGAGGTCCGTAAGGGGGAGAGCAGCAGAGAGGATGATGAGGAGCTTGCAAGGCGACTGCAGGTATGCAGCATGTATGCATGTATCCATGTATGCATGTACCCATGTATGCATGTATCCATGTATGCATGTATCCATGCATGCATGTATCCATGTATGCATGTATGCATGTATCAGTGTTCCATCATGCGTTAAGTGGCACCCATTCGATGAGCAGCAGAGGGGATGATGAGGAGCTTGCAAGGCGACTGCCAATACCACTTGATATCGTTTCATTTTTTGGGCTATGCTCCCCCACCCTCATGACCCCCTTTGGTTTGTCACACTTCTCTTTGCCCTTTTATCACATCACATGGCATCACATGGCATGACACAAGATATGACCATGGCATGTCATGGTGCATGATATGGTCACA